AAGGGCTATAAAAAACCTCCAGCCAATTAACCGAATCTCCGGAAAGCGCTGAGTCCTGTCAGCGGAGCTGAGCCTGCTTGGGGACATGCTGGCTCTGCACTGCGGGGTGGACCCCAGCCGCTGGGCAGCTGCCACCACCCCATAAAGGGGGGACCTGGCCTCAGGGCCAGGATGGGAGCACCCACGTGGCCCCACGCAGGTGCCCGGCTGGCATCAACACCCATGTGGGTGCACGCACACGTGAGTGGATGCATGCAGACCCCCACCCCCACCACCCTTGTGCACAACCCTCCAGCCAGCCACATGCTCATGGAGGAGCGAGGAGCTCCTGGCCCTGCAGGGCCACCAGGTCCCACTGTTGCCAAGGCACTGGGTGCACCACTCACCCTGCCACCACAATCTCGAAGTCACCATCAGCATCCAGGTCGGTGACGGCCACGCCGTAGTTGAGCTGCGTGGGGTTGCTGTCATAGTCGGGTGGGAGGAGGCGGTGGGTGACAGCTGAGAACATGGGCTCACTGCGCTGTGAGCCCTCGCTGAGCCAGGCCAGGGACAGCAGACACAGCACCAGCATCCTGGGCACCTGGGAGAGACCTGCAGCCCATCAGCTCCAGGAGGAGACCCTGCTCCATGATGTTCAAACATCCCCACCCCCATTGCATGGGAGATTATCTCTTTCTGGCCCTTGTCACCCACCCCAGCCTGTGCCACCCCGCCAGTCCCTTGACCCTTGGGCACTGCCAGAGGTCCAGCATCCCCATGCACAGATCCTCCCAGCTGCAGCTCACCTCAGGGCTTCCTTGGGACACGACCGTACCCCAGCAAGCTGGGAGCTGAGACTGAGCAGGAGCAGGACCTTGGGAGGCTGTCCCATGGGAGGGACTGGAGAGGCAGCAGGAGGGCTGTGGGGTGCTGACGAAGCTGGGCTCAGCCCCAGCTCGCCCTGCCCTGAGGAGCCACTGGCACTCAAGATCCTGTCAAGTCATGATGCCAATCACTGCTCCCTTGGCAGGGCTAGAGGAAGCAGGCGGTCACTGGGCTGGGGAGTTAGTCCCCTGTCCAGCTGGTCTTCCAGAGCTGGGGAAGGCCACGGGAAGAACATGGGGATAGTCTGCCAGATGACTCGTGTATGCCTCAGGTTCCCCACCCTGCTGGCACTGTGCGACCCAGGGTCTCTGTGGGATGAGCACATCTCAGGCTGGCCAAGGAAGGTTTCTGCACAGGGATGTGGCTGCGGGAAGGAGATGCTGGAAGAACAGGAGACTGGGAGGAGAGGCTCAATTAACCTGGACTGCGGAGGACAGTGTCTGCCAGCACTGCTGGCAAGGCTGCAGAGATTTTGGAGCTCGCTCTGACCTGGCTGTAGCATGGGTGATGGGCAAGGTGGCATTCAGGACAGCCAGCCCTCACCCCATGCCAGGCAATCACCTCCAGAGGGAAAAGCCCAGCAGCGAGCTGTGCATCCCTGGGCCATGGGTGTGAACATACATGCCAGTGCTCCAGCTGGGAGAAAAACCAGTCTGTCCCGCTCTCGAAGACTGGAGGGATAGCTTGCATACCCGGCCACCAACATGGAGGACAGTGCTCCATGTGACTGTGCCATTCCCCCGGGCAAGGCTGGCTCCCCCAGCCAGGATCAGGACACCACCCCCCCATCAGCACTGGCAGTGGGACAGATGTGAATGGACTTGCTGTACACTGTGGACCCTGCCAGCCAGGATTCCCCTGCCACATAGCTTCCAGGCCCACCTGGCTGGGCAGGAATGGGCTGTCCTCCAGCTGCAAAGGAAATCTTGAGCTCCATTGCCCAGAGTCCCACTGCACCCCTTCCTTCACCAATCCCAGCTGCAAGGATGAATGTGTGGATGTGCGTATCACGCTGTACTCTGTACTGCTCCCATTCCCTCCCTGGCCTGACCCACATCCCCTCACAGACCCAGGTGAAGCCAGACCCCCTCTGACACTTCTCTCCACCGCCCACCCAGACTTGGGGCATTGTGCCCATCACCCTGTCTGAAGCAGCTCTCCAGGGGCAGGAGCCTTGGTCTTTCCCTGGTACATGTGCCCCATGCAAGGCACATATGATGTGGACAGGGGTTCATTTGGTTGTGCAGGGATGGGACAGTCCCTGGGTGTCACTTTGCAGTGCCAGGCAGTGAGGGGAGGGAGCCTTTGACACAGCCGCACTCTGAGCTCATTAAAGTAAGCATGGGGAAAAGCCACCCACATGCGGACATACTGGTGGAGGGCTGCCATGCGAGCCCCCTGCTGACGCAGGGTAGTGCCCTCTCACCCCTGGCTACAGCCAGGAGATGGGTGGCTGTCCCCAGACCACAGCCAGGGCTCTCCCTGCTCTGCCCCCGCCTCCAGCTCCCACTCACCACAGCTTGGCCGGTTCCCCAGGTCCCCCTCCACCCCCATCCAGCTGCAGTCGAAATTCCTCCAGGCTGGATGGAGCCTTTCCAGGAGGAAACAATGTTCCTGATTGGAGACAAAAGGCTTTTCCCAGCAGATCCGGTGCTTGGTGCCACAGGGAAGGGAAGCACAGCCAGGAGCCTGGCCATTTTTGGAAGGGGGAGGGAGGGAGGCTCAGGCTCTGTGTGGTGGAGGGAAAAGGCCTCTTGGTTCCCAGCATGCTGCTGATAGCAGCGAGGCCCCAGCATGAAGCTCCACCTGAGCTTTGAGGCTATGGGGTCCTCCTTGTACACAGCACAGAGCTCAGCCTGTCTTGTCCCAGCAGAGCCATATCCTGGCTTTGTGTTGTGGCATCTGGTGGCAAGGTCACCCCAGGAGCTGCGGTCACCCCACGGTGCCTGCTCAGCATGGCTAAGCCTGGTGACACAAAGCCAAGGTTCCAGGCAGGGGTAGAGGCAGCGGAAGGATGGGAGCAAGGCAGGGTGTGCCGCAGGCACCAACGCTGGGTGCAGCCATGCAGCACAGGGACAGGGTGCTGGTCCCATGGCAGGGATGCAGCCTGCAAGCTCCTCTGTCCCCACACATGTCTGTGGCTGGCAATGCCCTGCGGGGAGGGTGGGACGGGGTTCGGAAGGGAGCTGTGGGGCAGGCAGAGGGTTGTGCCCCAGACCCCTCACCACAGGTGGGGAGATGCTGTCCCCAGGGTTCCTCATGTACCCACATGCACATCCCTAGTGCTTGGCCCACATCATGGGGAGTGTAGGAGCTGGGTCTCTGTGCAACCACCTCATCCTGCATGCCACCATGACATTGCTGCCCACCACACCACGCACCCCAGTGATGTCATGCTCCACCACTGCAGTGACATCCCATCCCGGGCCGCAGTCACCTCCAACACCGCTACGACATTGTACGACATCATGCAGTAGGGGCCTCATCACACCCCAAAGGCACCCCAGAGCTGTGACAACACAGCACCCCACGACATCATGCTGTGTGTGCCCCAGTAACATCATATTCCCATTCTTGTCATTCCCAGGCTGCCACAGCTGTACCCGCCAGGGCAGAGGAGAGACAGG